TTCAGCTCAGAATGGAAACCTGAAGTCCACAGCAAAACACATAGACAGCAGATGAAATGTAGAGCCATTCAGCAACAGTTCTGTTTTTCAAGGGCGTACTCCAGCATACTTTGATTCTAGAATCGGTGTAGCTAGTGTAGAAACCTGCAAGAACTAAGTAACATCTAGGGCTGTTTGTATCTGTTTCAGAAAAAATCTGGTGATTTCTGACTTTGACTTTGCACATGGTAGAGTGTAGTGAGGTACATCTGGCCTGCAGTTTTAGGCTGATCAAATCCAGTTGTTTAGTCGTGATTATTTTAACTGACAGTGGATAGCTATCTAAAAAAATGACTATTGTAATAAACTATAAGATTCCAAATTAAATCACATTCAAGCTTATTTCAAAGCACTACAATTATCTATCCACTTTACCATATCATTCCCCTGAGATATCACAGTAATTTTAGCCGCCTAATAAGATTATAATCTTTGATGTACAATCCTACTAATTTTGGCAGAGTCTTTGATTTCTTCATTCGGCAGGATTGTCTGCTCATGTGACCTTTCAGGTTCATTAGCTACCATTTCTCTGTCTTTAATCAGTTAATAGGAACGGCACTCACCAGCATGATCATTTCAACCCTTCACTTGTACTGCCTCAGTTTGAAGAGTGCAGAAAACAAGTAAAGCAAATCAGGTATTTTGTGTAGAGGGATCTGGCTTTAATAAGATATCAAATATCAATAAGAATGATGCAGGCCTAAATCATACGACAGCACTAGACAGATTAAAATAGGTCATTATAACTCAAAACACTTACTGACTGTACCATAACCACAGCATCAATGCTTCTGTGTAAATGCAGAGTGCACATTGACTTGATAACGGCCAAGAGCACTTAGGGGTTTTTGATATATTCGAAACACATTAATGTAACACATTATATATTCGAGTTTATTGTGGTGCTCATGCTGCGAAGTCAAAACTGGAAATCAGCTAGGATTTCAGGAGAAGGGACTGGATGCTTTTCCATTGATAGGACCCCGATGTCTCTGTATTATTGTGAGTGGTAGGGACTTCATCTTAAAGTTTACTTGGAGAGAGCTGTTTCTACAGTAGCAGAAACAGGATTTCAACATTGCTGAATCCTGGCAGATTCCCAGGAAAATCTACAATAAATTGTGCAGTCGGCAACACCTCTCCTTCTTTCCTTCCATCTGTATTAACCACAAAAAGTCTCAGAAGTGATATTCAGCTTGTTTCTCACAGGTGCCAAATCAGTAAACTACAAGATAAGGAAGATATGACAGCTTTTCATTTTGTAGGGCTCGTGGTTAAGGAGATATGACCTATTTCTCTGTAATAACGAGAGTCTGCAGATTTCATATCTGAATATAATCTACAAACAACACTGGATGGTTACAGATTCTTCTATTTTTGTTCTTTGTAAGTCGTAGAACTTCAATACTGTAGCTGACGCTGTAGCAAGAGTTTTGTTCACTAGATCACTGTACAGTATGTGCGGGTGTTTTCCTTCTTTGGTCATAAAATGCACAATGCGTTTTTTAAATGCACATTAAGATTGTACTTTAATTTTGCAATGTTTTGTAACAATATTCTTATGATTGATTCAGGATCAGTTTGTGTTTCATCTTACCTAGTGATGGGTTCCCATTGCTTGCTTCTGTTACTCTCCGTCTTAAATAAATAACTGAGAGGTCAGCACAATGACTAATAGAATTACATTATTCAAAACGTAAGAACAGAAACCATTTATTAACCCAAGAAATACACCTACTGTACAGTATATAGCGACTATGTTAACTGCTGCAAGAACTGTAGCTACTGTATAAATCATGTAATTTCTTATACAAATAAAGACTGTAGACACATTTTTTAGAAACACTGCAGTTTACCCAACCACACACCAAACAAACTGAACTGTATTCAGTAGCAGTACAAACATTTCACTTTTCCCAGAGATAAGCAAGGGCAGCCTCCAAATAGTGACTAGGGTCCCTGTCTTACAGTAGTCAAATATTCAAATTAATTGGTTCTGCACAGACCGATATGGGAGGAGAGCTGTTTGCTTCATGTGTGATGGTTTCCAGTTGAAGTTGCTATGTTTTTCATTCTCTGTGGAGTTCTATATCAGAATACTCTGAAAGATTATTTTTATATGATGTTGCAATGAGAAGGCTTTTTGGAAATAAGCTGCTGGCAAAGAGACTAAAGCATATACAGTACTTTTCAACTAAATTTAAACTTAAGCAGCAAGCACATGTCTTTTTATTATCCAGAAAATTTGGTGAAACTTATCTTGAGGATTAAAAAAAATGGTTGAGCAGTCAAGGTGCCCGGGCTTTTACATATTTGGTTTGAAGAAACATTCATGATGGAACAATAAATTGTTTTGTAGGGGCATCTTCAAGATGAAAAACATCAAATATATTCTCTAACTGTAATAAGATGACATTACTTGACAACACATATGGTCTTTTGGAGATGTCTGAAGAAGAACCTCAGGCATGAATATCCTACATACAGGAATACATACTACAATACTGGACATTTTATGTTGTGTAAATTTTACTTTTACCAGTAACAGTGCTTAATTTGGTGCATTAAATTGCTGCTGAGACAGAAACTCACATGAAATCACATGAAAAACTGGTAACATTCAGCTTGAGAGTAGTAATCATTATTTGTAACAACAAATATATTTCAGAACATCCCACGCCTGCACTTTAAAGTCGGCTAAGCACAGGAGGTGTTGATTTAGTAGATGGAAAATTTAAGGTTTGGCTTGGAAATAAAGAGCTTAATTTTCCAGTTCAACTTGTGTGCCTCCTCAGTGGTTATTAGCTTTATTTAGATGATGGAATGAGTCACTGAGCCCCAGCGGTCATTCTGATCAGGAGAAGGGATTAAGGGTCATTATGATGACTAAGAGGATGCCAAAGCACTCTTTCCACCCCCATCCCAGTTCATGCAACAGCTCTCAGGGACCGTCAGGGCAATCCTGACCTCTCTGTCCTATCCCACATAAAACTCCCATGGAGTTCCTACTCTTCATCTTCCAGCTTCATAAAGGATGCTGTATCTGGAAGCTAAATGCTAAATGCTTTTTTATCTGTCCATTCACAAACAGCTCACTATAGGTTCTTGTAACATTCATTCATTTTCCACCCTCACAGCTTCACACTTACTGTACCAATCAGACTCCTCCTAGAACTAGAGGGACAGATAGCGAAGGGCTTGAGGCCAAGTCAATGCAAAAGTGACAAATCAAGACTTCTTCTGTGGTACTACAAGGTACACTATGTTATACAGTGTTATACTGTCCAGTTTTTAAAATTAAAAACTGACCTTGGGTCCAATCTGTGTGGATTTTTGTATGTTCTCCCTGTGTTTTTGCATGGGCATTGTCTGGATGATCAGGGTTTCTTTTCACAGCCCAAAAACAAACTGGGAGGTTACTTACCTTGATCTTAGCCAAAAGCAAACCAAACTTGTAGGTTAACCGGCTTTTGGCAAAATTATACCTGGTCAGAGTGTGTGTGCCTTGTGGTGGACTGGCTTCCTGTCCAGGGTCCTGCCTTGCACCCATTGCTTGCTGGGATAGGCTCCAACTCTCCCACGACCCTGAATTGGAAGAAGCAGTTAAAAAATGGATGGATGGAAGTTGACCAGTGCCTCACAGGTTGAGGACAGGCACATCTTGATGCCTCTGCAAGCCTGCAGGCACAAGAATCCGTCTTCCAGAAAACTGAGTGAGCCCTGGCCAGCTAACCGTGACCTTAGCACAGTGAAGCTCGGCTCACAGTGTGCCACCGTTGGAAAATCCTGAACATTACCGGAGAGCAACATGACCCGGATTCAAACCAGGGACAGCAGGACCACCGGGCTTACTCTGTGAACTGAGCAAGAGATTTAACTGCTTCTTCTATTCGGGAACTATATTTCTACTTCTTTTTCGTGTTGGAATTAAACCTTGTGTTATACAAAATATGTGTAGAAACACAGTACTGTATGTGACAACAAGTGCCTTAGCCTTATTTAGAATGAATAAAAACCACAAGGAGAAATGACTTTTCTCAGGTTGATTTATTCTAGAAACATTTTGAGCTGTGAAAACTGGATGTGCAAAAAGCACTTACAAAGCTTGAACTCATAAAGCACAGGCTCCTACAGCTGGTCCTGCAGGCTCACAGGCCAGTGCTACGTTTTGTTCCAGCTCAGCTCTCAGACAGATTTACCGCTGAACTCTTAGCTGACTTACTGAATTAATATGAACCGTTTAACTGTTTCTGGGTTTTAAATATGGTGGAAGTCCCCTTTTAAGTATCGCATTTCATATTTTAAATCCCGAACTTCTTAGCAGAAAAACAACAACATTCTAATTAAACAGCTTGTTAGCTTAATTAAGTCTGGAATTAGGTAATGAAAGTCAGCTGGAACAAATAGCGGGCGTGTGGGCCTCCAGTATCAGGATAGGGACTCCTGTCATAAGGGAAAAAGTAACTTCATACAATGCCATATGATAAAGCTGTAGTACAATTAAAAATAATATGCTTAGTGTTTAACATTAAGTGCTGTGTAACGGCATTATTAAGCAAGAAACAAACTTCGGTACAAAATGATGCGCAAGTAGAAAAAGTACAAAAAATCATCGCATGACACAGTTAACAAAATCCAGCGGTTTCACAACAAAACCAGAACAAACGTAAACAGAACTGCACAACATATACATGTCACAGGAAATTCAGTTGAAAATTAGAGAGCAATTATTTTGTCACAGAATGATTTGTACAGTTTTTACACTTTTCCAAATGATTTAAACCCTTCGTCGCTATTTAATTGTAAATTAAAAGCACTCAACACCTCTTCTAGTGGACTGAAACTGATGGAACAAACAAAATCTCTGAAGACTCCGCCCTAAAGTAATATTCTTAATTTCAGCAAGTAATGAACATCCAAATTCATTTGAGGACCTGTTCAGTTTGATGGCCTAGTTATTTTTTTAGATTTTGAACTGAAATTAGCTTTGTATGTTTTCCTTGCCCTGCCGTTATTATACTGTAACACACTGTCAAGTGTATCTTCAGTAAGGGAATTTGTCCCTATCACATAAGGTCTCATTTTCAACTCACAAAGAATTAACATTGAAATGACTTCATTTACTAATTAACACTGTTTCAGAGGTGTTTTTTTTAATTCAAAGGTCGAGTATTTTTTTTAACCACTCAGCAGGAATCTTCTTAAGACTACTTCGTTTTTTCTGTCTCTCCTCATCAAACCAGATTGACACTACACAGAGTAAATGGAGCTAATATTGTTACCCACAAGCATCCCATGGGGTGAATACTGAAGAGCTTGTATTAATTTCATCTGAAAATATCAAATTAAAAAATACACATAAGGTTTGGGGAAACAGGCACTTTACAAAGCTCTTTTTTCATAATGTCCTACATATTAATTTACATTTTAATGAGAACCAAACAGAATTTGCATAATGGCTGTCTTTCATGACCCAAATGTTTTAAACACATTTGCAAAGCAAAGAAAACAGATGCACCTACAGTAGGTCTTTAAGCCATTTGTTACTGTAGAAGAAAGAAAGGCCAATACTGTTTATTAGGCTGATCCACTCTTGCTAAATCTACAGTAAGTGAACAGACCAAGGACAGAAAAATAAAAAAGTAAAACCTTATTAATACTATTTCTAAAATAACAGAAATAAAAAAAGATTCTAAACACCAAATAATATTTCATAGAGCTGGCCTTGAGGTTTTCTAAAGGATACATAAACCAACCTTTTCTCAGCAAATTTGAACCCTTTCTTTTATCCCCCAAATCACTTTCTTAACTATTACATTTTTCTAATTTAATTTCAGTATTAGAATTGAGCAATAATCATTAGTTCATTCACAAGAAGGTAATTTTGTTATTAATATATTCTGCAGTTTATTTCAATTTCATGAAGTTGAGGTAAAAAATATATTATCAACCTTTCTTTAATACCTACAATGTCAGACAATAATCAGCTGACACTTTAATATCTGAATATGATCAGAGAATTACAGGGCGATTTATTTACTATACTTTGACTATTTAATACTTTACTACTACAAACCTTTTCATTAGTTATTTTTTAAATAAACTGGAATTATCTGAATCTCTCAGGGCTATTTTGTGTTTTTTTATATTGTAGAATATTCTTACATATTCTACAATATATTCTGTAGAAAATATAGAATATTCTATGTTCATTAATTTATTTAAACTTGAATTACTTATTAAATAAGCACCCCCAACCCCCTTCAAACTGGATTTTAAAGGGTGTTGGAGATATTTAACCTAGAAATCTAACCAACAGAAGAAAACATTTAATGTTCTTTCATAAACGCTCTCCAATTTTAACAATTTTCAAGCTGGCTTAAAGTTTTTCTGTTATTTTCTTAATAACCGTCTTTTAAGAGAGAGTAGTATAACATATACAGTATATGTTTAAATACCTGTAGTTGTGATAATTAATATGAACTCCTGATTCGCACAATACTCCTATCACAGACAACAGGGAAGGAAATTCCTGTGAGTAAAAAAAATTACAGTTTAATACTGAACAGCACTAATACTAATCACAACGTCACAGTTTTTACCAAAAACATAAAACCTTCCAAACCTAAATACCTATTAATGAGGTATGGGAGTACCTTTTACAATATTTTAAGATCTGTGGAAGAGTTTTTGGTGAATTCTAATATATCAGTATGGTGTACTGTATGCCTTTAAGAGTACCTTAGTGCATCTTTTGATGATTGTGGTGGCTTAGTAAAAACTCAGACACGCACACAACTATACACAAAAAAACTGCAACAGAGGCATTTGGCTTGACAAAAGACGCACAAGACACAAAGGTCAAACCCGAACCTTAAGAACCTTTTGAACTGAATAATTTTTTCCTGCTCAAAAATGTGACAACAAAAAATCGTGTCATTTAGCAGAAGCTCAGGAGGGAGGTCAAATCTCACACTTCTGTTCTCCTACGTACCGTATAGATACTCAATGACCACCCACAACTCTGCAAGGATCTTTTCTAGCCCCCCTCCCTCCATCTTCCTCCTTGGAGCTGCCTCCCTGGTTCATTCCTCCCAAGCGAGGAGGGTTGTGACAGGGCTGATCTTCAGCCAGGCAAATTAATGCCCAAGTATAAAGTACCCTTTATATCCTTGGCTCCTTTCATTGCTATTAGACTTTGACCAAAAATTGTCCTTAACCCTTTGTCTGTCTGTTTATCCAGGTTGTTCGGACATGTTTTTCATAGGGTGGAATTATCTTGTAACGAAAAACAGGAACTGTTTTCTCAACGTTTGCTCAGTGAAATGTGAGCCAAATATTTTCTCTTTAAAGCCAATGTCATTGCGCCAGTTAAAGTGTTAAAACAAAGCAATGACAATCCTTTAGAAATAAGAATTCAAATTTAAAGCATACTTTAAAAAGACTTGTCTAAGTTTGTTGTGTTTCAAGCAGCACTGCTGTTGAAGGCAGGAAGCAGAGACAGATTCCTGCTTTTGATGGGAACACCACTCAGAACCACTTAAAACTAAAAAAAAAAAAACAGTTTTAAAAACAAGTCAGAATCCTTGTCACAGGCACTCACACAGTTATTTCTGGAACTCTTCTGAAGCACAAGAGAACACATCAGATTCAACAGCTTGTGGGAAATTTGTGTGATATTAATACCGTGGGATGGTGGGCAAAATTCAATGGCTGACAATTTCAAAGCAGGACGGTTTTTTTTTTTGTTAGCAGCCTAAAGACCAAAAATAACCACAGGTGTTGAAAAATGCAAAGAAATACCCATTTTCTCTGCTGGTTTCATCAGCGAGCTCACATGCTTGTGCTGGGTTTCATTTTGAAGGCAGTTGTGTTGAAGTGGATCACTCAATAACTAGAACAGCAACACTTACTGTGTACAAGGCTTCAGCTTTTCTTTCCAGGTTTATCGATTGAGTGGAGGCTCACCTGGGGCTTTCTGGGGGTAAGAGGAGGTACTGCACAAATTAGCTTCTGATACATGCATTTCACAGTTAATTCAGCTTCAGAAATATTTCTCTGTCTTTTTTTTCAATGAAACAAGCCTACATTTCATCCATGTTTATCCCAGTTTCTAGAACTGGACATTTAGCTTTGGCTTACTCATATACAGGAAAGCCCTGGCTCGACCAGGTAACATTATGTCCATGGGTCACTTTCCTCCCTAGTAACTTCTACGCCTAAAATGAACAGTGATGGAAAAAAACCACCTCAATAACACTATAGACTGCTGGCTGCCTTAGTGAAAAATGAGAGTTGGAGATGTTTCAACTTTTAGTCACTCATCAAATTTAAATTTCACAAATGTAGGAGGCGGAGTGATGTGAACTGTGATGAGAGGTACGTGTTACATAAATTGTTCCTCATGGGAAGCTGTCAAGACAACAGAAGGCAACAGTGAAAGGCAGATTGGTACAGCTGCCAGATGTTACAACTGTAGGTAGATTGAACTTTAGAAAATGTACAGAATATAAGACATGCAATAACAGAAAATGAAAACACTAAATAGCAAAAGGATAAATGAAATAGACATTCATGACTGAAAGGTAAGAGAATAAAGTATACAAAAACCACAGGATGAAAATAATCTGCATTTTGGCCTTTTTAGAAGGTTAGATACATTAATGTGCAACACATGACTCTTTGTTGTGCACAGGAAATAGAACAACAGCAACGTCAGATTTTGGAAAACTTGAAAAAGACAAGTTACTGATTGATGCGTTTTCATAAATAGAAAATCTAATCTTGGTATTATTACTTTCTGTGCTAAACTCAATAAGGGAAAAGTATTCAAGTGCCCTACTTAATAGGGACAATACTGTATATACTGTACAGAGAGATCAGAAGCGAGGAAATGCACTGAACTCTTACAGCAGACAACATAATGGAGGCACATTATAGAAACAATACAGTAAACAATACAGCAAAAGCATTGAAAAACTCCCATTGTTACATGTGCTGCTATGCTATACTACTATGATCACTACTCCTAAAATGACGAAAATAACTGGATGGATACTCTGTTGTTTTTAATCTAGCTCTAGCCTAGAGCAGATACAGAGTTTAAGCTTGCCCCTTAATCAAAATGGCACATTTTATAACTAAACAGTGACTGAAATACTTTCAAGAAAAGCTTTTTTGTTAAAGGTGTGCTTGTCCCTTCCTTGTATGACTGATATATGCTTGTTACCAAGTAGCGTATGCAGAATAAACAAAGGAAAAACCTAACTACGTCTGTGCTGTTAAATGAGAACATATGGACTAAGTCATTTGCCCTCTGCGCTGTAGCAATTAAAAAAAAGATGTTGGTCTCACTCTCTTACTGTCACCAAACGTTTCGTACTGATCAAACAGAAACTTCAAACTTCAGTGCTGATTGTGTCTGGAGCAGAGCAGAGCAGAGAAACGTGCACTAACATCCCGAGTGAAATATGCATTTCATATTTATCATGGAGACCCACAATCTCAGATGTACCATGCACAGGTTGAAACTACAAGGAAAGTGCGTTTCTTTCAATGGTACAGCTCTCTTTTTCACCCCCCACAGACTACCATATGTTGGGATTTGGAATTTTCATGGAATAAAAAACGATGGAAACCTAGAGAGAGTGGAGTACATGACACATATGGAAACTGCTTTCTGAAATAATTAATAGTGTAAGGCAAACAAACAGACCTCTGGCCTTCAGGGAGTCACAGAAGGCAGCCTTCTGGTGAAACCTCTCAGGATCGTGGAGCATTCTTATCCGATCGGCTGAGACTGCTGACAATCTGAGGTTCAGTGGTGGAAGCCAGAATCAGAGGTGCCTGATGTCATTCTGATGTCTAGACTGAGGCTCCCCAACTCCACGACATTGAGAGCAACAGCCCAGCAGGCTTCAAGGTGTCCTGAAAACATTGGCGGTATCAGACCTGTACAGGAGTACTAAATGGGCCAATTACAGACTGGATTAAGCTAATTAAACTACGTTTCTGATGTCTTTGGTTGTGGATGATTTAAACAGACCTATAGGGCAAGATATGGGAAGACCTGGTTTAGAAGAAAAGTCTGTTCACTTTGCCGGGGGGAGAAAAGAAAATAATTCTTTATGGCATTTGAGCTCCTGTATACAAAGGTTTATATTTGAAGGCAGTCAATCGCATCTTTATTAAACTAGATCCCTGGAACAATTTAGAAAGGAGGATCAGGCTCCAAGGAATTAAGATACCGTAAGAATGGCTACAAACGAGGAAGGTCATGTTAGTCCCATCTTGCTTGTTCGGTAGTTAGTATCTAATTAATCTAAGGCTCTCGCCGACTGATTTCTTGAAAGAAGCCAGGGTATCAGCTTAAAGTTGGGGAGCTTGTTCACGACTCCTACAACCCTCAACTCACTCCAAATAAGTCGAGTGCGTTATCTTCATTTCCATTCTCGTGAGTAAAGTAACATTGTCACAACTGACAGTACTCATAGTGACATAATAAAAACAAACGTAGCAGCAAAAACAGAAGGAATGTCCTAGACTTGATGACACACTTGCAGACACTGCATATCCGTAACGCCAGTGACTTCACTTTGATTTTTCAGTCCGGAATCTGACAGTTAATTAAATGCGTGTGAATTGCATCTAATGATGCAGTTTAAAACACAATTCAAATGTGATTGTCCTTTGGAGACTCCCTTTCTCTCTCGAGAAAGGACTTTTTCAATGATAACTATGGGCACCCTGGTGAAGGTCCCAATGCAGACTCGTTGCATTTTCCTCCTGTAAAAAAAAAACGTCTATTGGCTCCTGTGTTCAAGTGAAAAAGGAAAAAAGAAAAAAACGTCCAGTGGTAGTAATCTTCAGGTGGTGCTGATTGTGATGAAGCTGCTGTACTGTAAGTGACCGTTGTCACGAGACCGTCCACGCTGGGTGTGAGAATTTAATGGCATGCGTTTTGGCCCATTTAGCAAAAACCGATTTCTCTGTAATGAACCTGTGACCTCCATAAGGAGCAGTTTCATGCAAGAGGTACTCAGCACATTCATCCCGGCTCCCTGCTTCATAGTAATGGTAAGGGACTTTTCTGTAGCCATCGGTCCTGTTAGAGACAGAAATGTGAATGAATAGATGCTTTAAACCACAGTGTTAACAAAGCTTCACGCATACTGCACAAGCCCTCAGAATTTCTCGC